TTCCGTTTATCTTGACTTTTCCTAATTTTGCAAAAAACTACGTTGTAAAAACAAGCACGTCATACAAATATAAAAAAATGAGCATACAGCTTTGATGTGTGCTCTCCCCACGCACAGAACAGTCTTTCTTCACCTGTGACTGTGTCAAGCTCCTGTACATCCCTCCCCACACGGGGCAGAGCTTTGTCATTCACAGACTGCCACCAGACAAACACAAGTGACATCAGCCCCCATTCTCACAGGGAACACTCCTCCCACCTTACAGTAAATGTATTGGCTACATCACCCACACCTGAGCCAGAAAATACCTCTTATTGTCAAACTGCATTGCTCAAACCACTAACTAATCACTCCTGGAGGCAGATAAACAAATGAATGACTGCACACAGCTCCCTAATGGTGGCTGTCAGGTGTCAAACAAATCCCTAGATTGATTCTTATTACATTTTACACAATTCAAAATTATGATTACCAGTACCAAATATTCCACTCAGCAAGAAGATCGCAACAACAGGTTGGACAGATGGTGAGTGCACTTGACTGTGGAAACAGAACATTTAACAGGACATGGGCCCCACAGAATGGGGCACAACCTCTGACACTGAAAATTACTCCAGCTGCAAGACCATAAATCCTCACATGATCAAATTTTAAGTCACATGGAGAGAATAAGATTTGCCACATTAATCAAATCCCATCAGATTTTATCCTCAGCTGGCTTCAAAGTGTTCAGGAAATTGCCAGGACAGCCATTTGTGTAAAGCTACTAGCCAGATCAGCACTTTAAAATTGTTTTGTTTTCTTAATGAAAAAATAATCGATATTTGCATGAAAGAAAAACTATGAGGATTGCACAAAGGAATCAGTAAATGTATCAACTACCTAGATACCTCAAGTAAGTAGAAATTATATTTTAATGCTTTTATCCCTCCTATCCAAAAAATGTACTTGATATAAAAAACTATTCCAAAGCCATACTTAGCAAATATTTTATTAAATCTACAGAAAAGTACTGCACTGATTTCCAGCTATATTATTTTAGCTAAGATACAGCAGTGCTGAAATGAAGTCTTGAAGACTCAGCATAAAACAGTTTGGGTTAAAAGGGACCTTCAAAGGTCGTTAGTCCAATCCCAACATGTACAATACAGTAATATTTGAAATATCTGGCTTCTAGAATACATTTCTAATGTTTCGAGCTTTAACCTCTGACTGAACACATTCCCAAAAAAATTCCATTCCTTTATCTGAAACTGCCTGAACACCAGATTTTAAGTTACACGCGCAAGCGTTGCGAACACCATTAAAGCGTTAGGAGAAAAGGATATTAGAACCAGGATTAAATTAGCAAGGATATTTAAGGTGTCTGCTTAACGTGCTATTTTCAAACCGGGAAACCAGAAGATAACAGGAGATAGGGGCTTAATAAACGCGAAAACATTCAGTGCGCACTGAATGGAAGCACTGACGCGTCGCTGAGCTGGAAGCGCGACGATCAGCGCCCGTCCTCACACACAGCGCTAAAACCTCGACACACAAGCACTGAGCAGGGGGAAGCAGAAGAAATTAAGTGCCGGAAAGCGGAAAATGTAATCCCGAGCAGTGTCTCTCCTGAGGCTCGGCCAGGGACACGGGGCTCGGGGAGCCCCAGCGCCGGCTCCAGCCCACACGGCCCGGGCCCCCCCGGCCCGCAGCCCCCCTTGGAGCCCCGGTTCGGCTGCGGGGACTCCCCCGGCCCCACCGCCCCTTCCCGGCCGCGGCGGCACTCCGCACATCCCCTGCGCTCCCGGCTGCCCTCCCTCCCGGTCTCCCTCTCTCCGTACCGGCGGGCAGCAGCGCGGGGCCGGGCGGCGCGGCCGGCGCTTGGCTGACGGGGATGAAGGGCACGTTGAAGCTGAACTCGGTGGCGGAGGAGGAGAAGAGCAGGTTGGTGCCGGTGCCTCCCCCGGGCTTCGCCGCCGCCATAGCCGCGCCCCGGCCACGTCCCTGCCCCGGCCCCTTCCGCCCTCACCCAAGATGGCGGCGGCGGCCGCGCGCAGCCGTGAGGGGCGGGAGGCGGGCTCGGCCGCCATTCCCGCAGGAAGAGGAGGAGGAGGGCAGAGAGGAGGAGGAGGAAGAGGAAGCGGCGGCGATCCCCGCGCTGGGCTAGCGAGCGGGACTCGGCGGCCGCAGGGTGCCGGCAGCCCCGCGGCGAGGCGCGGCCCCGCCATGCCGTGCGTGGGCGACTGGCTGAACAGCCCCCTGAGCATCGTGCAGGGCATCTTCGGTGAGGCGCGGCCCGCGCCCCGCGGCGCCCGGAACCGGACGGCGCTCTCCCTCGTGGGGTGGCGGCGGGGCAGCGGCGAGGCCGTGTCTTATCTATGTCTTATATCTTGTATATCTCGTATACAGCGTGTGTTTTGTGTATCTGGCGTGTCTCTGGGTTCCGGCGTGCTGTCTGCCGCGCTGCTGAGGTTAGCAGCGCTATCAGCCGCGGCTGTGCCCGTGCTGGGCTCGATCTCGGCTAAAAGAACACCGACATTGAAATTGCCGACACGGGGGGAAAGCGGTGCCTCGGCTCCTGCCCTTCCCCTCTGGGGTGTTGTGGAGCTTTCCCTCGCTCCAGGAATGGCTCTGTGCTTCTTCGCTGGCCTGGAAGGGTTTGAAATGGGAAGTCAGTGAACTGCAAGGGGAATGAATTAGTCTGAGATGCACTTACTTCCCTAGGATAGAAGTGAAAGTTGGGTTTGATGTGCTGGGAGAATGCTGGGTCAAAGTCTCTTATGTGGTGGTAATGGCCACATCGATATGTTGTTTTTTATAGCCCAAAATGCTCCAAACTCAGACTGGGAGAAGAAGGTAACTGAGTACTTCAAGGAGAAATTAAAAGAAAACAATGCTACTAACTGGGTAAGAGAGTTTTATTCTTTTCGAGTTTCACTTTTTCTTAAGCTTTGTTATTTTTTACACTTTATCGCCGTGGCTTGCTTTTGATAAGTCCTGCCTTTTCACGATGAGTGTGCAGCTGAATTTCAGTCCCAGGCTTTGGGATGTGGAATTTGCACCTCAGCTGCCTTAACCTGAGTGCAAAGCCGGGCTGTGAAATCCCAGCCCGTCCATCCCCTTGCCTTCAGCACCCTCCTGCCCCCAGGCCATCGCTGCTGGCTGCTGCCACTCTGTAGCACAGTCAGTAGATGGCAGGAGATTACAAATATTGTCATTTTTGGGGAAGTGCGAGTCCTCGCTGTGCACCACAGGCTGCTGGTTATAAACCTCTTCTCCCAGGCAGTCAGTAGATGGCAGGAGATTACAAATATTGTCATTTTTGGGGAAGTGAGTCCTCGCTGTGCACCACAGGTTATAAACCTCTTCTCCCAGCAGCTTTTATCACAATGCTGCAAACTTGTTGAATAAATAGTTGCCTGGACCTTCAGGTTTTAAGGAAAAAACACTTTTCCTACTAAAACTGTGGTTTATTGGGCTGGGTCAGGCCTGGTTTGTGCAGTTTAGCAGGGAAGCTGTGCTTTAGGTTTTAAAAATAAAGTGTGCACAGTTGAGTTCAAAAGCTGATACTTTTCTAAAAGGCTGTAGCAGAAATGACATAATGGGACTGATAAGGGGATTAGAAACTTTCAGGTCAAATCTGTTCTACCTGTTACTGAAAAGAGCTGAAAATTACTTTTCTTTCTCTGTTTGTGAAAGTATTCTGTATTTAGTATTAAATGGTTGTCTAAATCAAAGCATTAATGGCAAAATTGAGTAAAATTTACAGCATCAGAAGGAGTTGAAAACTCAAAAAAACCAGGAGGGAATACACTTTTGTTAAAATGCTGCTTCCTGTAGGGCCACTTTTAGTTTTTGTTGCATTTAATGTTAGATGCGGGCTTTTTCAACAAATATTTTCTCTTCAGATTTAGAAAACCCTATTCATATTGCAAGTTCTTTGAAGTTATACCATGTGCTTAGGCATTGGGGTTTTTTTCCTTTCTATTTTCCCATTGTCATGTAAAACTGTGTGAAAAAGACTTCCCCAATGTTGACTTGGAAATTAACATACAGGTTTTCCAGGACCTTTTGTTATAAGAAATTGTGCATGCAAATTGCTCTGGTACTGCTGGTATATAGCACATGGTGGAAGTGCTGTTAAGTAGAAATAAGATAAGTAATAAATTCTGTTTAATCCTGCAGCTGCAATAATTCTAAATTTAAAAGTTGGTTTCAAATGTTGTACAGTTTTCATGCAGTTCCAGTGACCTATAACAACTTCATTCATAGTCCAGTATTTGGGAACTGTTAAGTGCCTGAGAATTGTAACAATTATGTGTAACAGCCATTGCAGGAAGGTGTTGGGATAGATACACTTTGTTACTGCTTAAATTAGGATGGATGATACACTCAGAATATATTCAGTGTGCTGTAGGAGTTTGAGGAGGAGGATGTACTGCATGGTCAGAGAATTAGGTTTTTGTGCTGCTTTTGGCTCACTTCAGAGCACTGCTCAATATACACCAGTTGTGCAGAACAATCTCCTTTTTCACAGGTCCCATCACTGAATGATGTTCCTGTACATTACCTAAAACCCAACAGCTTAGTGAAATTTCGCTGCATGGTTCAAGACATGTTTGATCCTGAGTTTTACATGGGAGTGTATGAAACAGTTGACCCAAACACAAATGCACGTGTAAGTGAAATACTGAGTTACTGTTTTAGCAAATGCTTGTCATTTTACTCATTCTGGTCCTTGTGTTTCTCTGGTTTGTGAGCTAAACCTATGGAGTTGGACACTGGTAGTAGCTGTGTTCAGCTCTAGTGGCATCAGTAAAACATAACCTGTCACATTTCTGTTGAGGAATAGAAAATGTTGAAATGATGAAAGGTTTGGCAGGATGTCTGTGAGGGACTTTGGGCTTCAGTGATTTTGGTGTGATTCATGTCCAGGTTGCTGTCAGAAACAGAATGATTGCATTGCCTTTTCCCTCTTGACAGGTTTTGCATTTTGGTAAATACAGAGATGTGGCAGAATGTGGGGTAAGTTACATAAATTATATTAACTTAGAGAAGAAATATTGGAATGGAAAGTTGTAGTTTTATGTGTGACAGAGCTTCTTTGGTACTTGGCAATGGATTCCTGAAGATACTGCTCTAAATGCAAAGTTCATCTTTGGTTTGGAAAGCAGAGTATTCATAACTGCTCGCTGGCATTCTAATTCAGCAGGCTTCCAGCTGTTTCTGTTGTATTTAAAATTTGTTTTGGTTGAGTGGAGGGGGGAGTGCCCATGACCTTGAAACTGTTTGCTATGGAAAACAGTTACTTTTAGTACTGCAGTGCAGTTTGACTCAAAACATTATATATTCACTTTTTCCCGAGTTATGTAGTCTTATGTGTTAATGGTAACTTCTGGCTGAGTAACTGAATCTGTGGGGTTAGTTTAAAAAAGAAAACAAGCTGTAATCAGATATTTAACAAAATTTCCCTTGGGATTCCAGCCTCAGCAGGAAATAGATTTGAACTCCACACAAACAGTCACCTTGGAGAGACAGACTTTCTACTGTGTTCCAGTGCCTGGTGAATCAGCATGGGTGAAGGAAATATCTTTTTTTACTGAGCTAGCATTTGTTATACAATCAGTGGTTACCAGCTAATTAATTAGATTTAAGGAGATAACTTCATTTTTAGTGAATCTGGAGAGGTGATAGGTATAGAAAGAGAAAAAAATAGTTGATGGTGTGTAATATGCACAAAGAGAATGCAAATAAATTTAGGAGCATTTGTTTTGATTTAGTAGACATTTTTGCTTGGGAGAGTCTTGGAAATTTCTAGTTGCAAATGCTTAGGAAAAGAGACACTTCAGTTGAGCCACTGGCATTTTCTACAGCAGGACATTTACACAGTGAGAGTCTCCTATAAAACACATGTAGCTGAGCAGGTTAAGATTAGGATTTTGTTAAAAAACCAACAGCTAAACCTTAGTGTGGGTGAGTTTTCCCTGCTGAGTGTGTGGCTTCCTTAACCCTGGATCCCACGCCTACATCAGTGCCAGCCAGGCCCGAGTGAGCCCCTCCACCTCCTACACCCCCAGTCGCCACAAGAGGAGCTATGAGGAGGATGAGGACATGGATCTGCATCCCTCCAAGCAGAAGGAGCAGCACGTGGGTAAGAGTTGCTGTTGGTGAATGGTTGTTCTGATATCTTTCCAGGATTTGGCAAACATTCATTGCTAAAAACTGAAATATTGGCAGCTGTTTTCATTGCTCTTGTTGTTGCAGCCTTTAGGATTTGGAGGCTTTGTGGAAGTCAGCGTGATATGTGTGTTGTATGTCTTGCTGACAATCTACAGAGACTTTTAGTATAAACTGGGTTTTATGCATATTCTGACCTGGTTTTTTTAAACATGAAGTGCAGAAAAATATTTTTGCAGTTCTATGGACTGTAGGGGGAAAAAAAATTCATTCCCCTGGTTTAAACATTGCATTTTCAAAATCAGATTTCTGGCCATGTTTGGGTTTCCAAGACACATAGATCTTTGCCAGTACTCTCTGTCACACTTCACTTGATTACATAAAGTACATACTTCTGAGACTTCTCATATTAAGAGTATATTCTGTCAAGTATATTGCATTTTTAAATATTCTTGTCTCAGATGTCTGGTTAAATTAGTTTTATTCTGTGTTGCTCACCGAAGAAAGTTGTTCAGTTCTGCATTTCTGTTTAAAAAGCCTGCAAATCCTGTTTTTCAGGCAGTGGAGGTGATATTCATGGATGTGTGGAGCCAAAGAGATTAGAAACAGAAGCTTCTGCAGGTCATCATGTCATTTCTCCCAACTGCTCCCCTCCACTTGACCTAAATTTTCCCTTGCCAGGAGAGAAGGGACCAGCGTGTCTTGTAAAGGTGAGAGATGGAGAGGTGATGAGCAAGGGCTGGGCTCTCTGTGAGCCAGACACAATCAGCCTTGCGCTGGTTTCTAGGCACAGAAATGTGTTTCAACTCCAGAATTTTGTTTCTACAGATAATTACATTCTTTCTCTTCACAAACACAGTGTTTCTCTTCTTGAGTGCTGCATTTGAATTGCTGGAATCCTTCAGCAGCATTTATTAGAGCTTGCACCTTCTCACCCCACTTACTTAAAAAAGATTCCAGTGTTAGATGCTTGAGTTTGCAGCTGGTACTGAGCCCTGGTATTTTTCTTTTAGGATATTTCCTCTAATTGAAAAACAGCTGTGAAAAACCAAGCTGAAAAACCAATAAGCTACACATTTGTGTATTGAATTTGAAATAGTCCTGGATTCACTGCTGTGTTGTATTACTATGAAACTTTACACAAAATTTCTCTGCTGTTGCTGTATTGACTTCTCTCTTATTTAGCAAATCTTGATTAATCACAGTGGAATACAGTTGTTTACACTCATGTGGCAAAGAATGCCTATAGAAAAAGCATGGAATCATAAAATTACTGTGAACTCCCTGACAATTCCCTTTTCCAGTGTAAGCTTACTGACTCTGAGAGCAAGGGGAGACCTCTTCCCTCAGGCTGCTCTCAGGCCACAATTGAGTCTGCTGAGTTTCCTTTTTCTGACAGTTTCTCTGCTGTCCTGCATCTGGCCCATCTGCCTCAGCATTTTGTGTTTTATTTTCTGTTTGGGGCAGGTCTATGAGGGCTGGGAGAGCTTCAAAGTCAATGATGTGCTGGAGGTGTTTGGTGTTCTGTCTGTGGACCCAGTGCTGAGCATAGTGAACAGTGAAGAGAGGTAAGGCTGCCCTGAAATGCAGGTTTTTATTGCAGTGAGCAGACAAGAAATGTGTAAGTACATTATAATTATGCTTAAGAAGGGAATTTTGTTGCTTTAAAATAGCTTGATGAGAAAAGTGTTACATCCAACATCCTGGAAACTGAAGTCCAGTGTGCTCTGGTACATCCATATCCTTGGATACCCAGTGCATCTTTTTTTAGGTTGTTGTACAGTCTAAAAAACAGAAAATGCTTCTATAGCTAAATGTTTTGTACTCTTTCATGCCTAAACTTTCAGTGACTGAGTGAATAGTGAACAAGGCTTTCAAGGAAGCTTTAAAATTATAAATGTCCTTTTGAAGTAATTTTGAAGTCCATGGAAGTTTTTACCAGAAATGTAAACATTTCTGAAGAATCTTAAAAAAAACGTTTGCACGTGTGCATGTAGACTGATAGTGACCAAAATGAGTAAAAGATGGGTTGATTTTTCATTAATTAAGGTATTTCATCTTCTTAACCCACTGACAGAAGCTTCCCATTGCACCTGCTGTTCTGCAATTCCTTACCTGACAAAATACAAAATCATTTAGGATGCAAGAAGTCAATTTTGAAAATAAAACTCTTGACAAAAATCTGACATAAATACTGCTAATGTCTTGAACCATTGCACTCTGGATCATTTCTGTTGATGAGTTTGTTCATCTGTCTGGCAAGTAGGATTCCCAGAGTGCAATGTGAATCCTTTATAGTGCCAACTTCTTAAAAATTACCTCAGCCTGGTCAGCTGCTTTTTGTTATCATCTGTGTGACAGCTGATCCCAGACTGACAGCTCAGTTGCTCTGTCACAGGTGCTTGTGGGTTTTTTCCTGTGTCATTCTGTAACAGGAAGACAAAATGGTGCCATTTAGCAACATTTTGAACACAAACAAAAGAAATCTCTTTTATTGGAAAGAGTGGATAGTGTGTGGATGAGCTGCTTAAGTGGCTTTGAAGTAATAAAGCCTGACAGTTTTTAAAACAAGACAATGACAGTAAAGTTTAGCACAAATTTCATCTGATAGAGTCACTTTAGGGATTTTACTTTCTAAAAATGAAAATGAAAAATGAAGAACACCTGGAAGAAATTTTGTAAGACATCTTCAGGGAGAGCAAAGCTTGTGTATCTGAGCTCTTAAATTAAGAGGTAATACCTCCAGGTTCCAGCAGAGGTACATTAGGATTTATTTATTTATTCACAGTTCTTTTACTCAGCCAGTGATAGAGATGTGATGTGACTGTCTAGAAGATCTTGTCAGGCTCCAGAACCTGGTGGGGTATGAAAATCCCACATGTGCTTACAGAGACAAATGTAGTAAATGACCTTATTTTTTTTAAAGCTGCTGTTTAGACTTCAATACAGGCTGGACAGAACAGTGTGTAATATTTTATCTGAAGCTACATGAAGCCTATTAAATGGTGCAGCAAAATAATGAATGTAATTTTGTTTGTGGGGTTTGGTTTTGAGGGGTTTTTGTTGGGTTGGGTTTTTTTTCTTAAGAAAAACATGGCTAGATTATTTTCTGAAAATAATACAATCCAGATATTTTGTGTCAAGCCTGCCTTGGTGTTCATATGTCACTTTGTAATTGTGATTCAGTATTTGTGGTGTTTATAAAGCTCTAAAGAAGGTGGTTTGAGTGTGGGAGGAGTCAGCAGGAGCTGGGAGCGGATGGTGTTTGTTCCTCTGTTCTTGGCCTGCTTCCAGCTGCTGTGGCTCAGAGGGAGAGGAGTTCCCCTGGGATGTTTGAGTCCAGCTGTGCTGTGCCCTCTCCCCAGGGACAGCTCCAGCCTGGATCCCATGGAGTGCATGGACACGGCGGAGGAGCAGAGAGTGCACAGCCCCCCGGCCTCCTTGGTGCCCAGGATCCACGTGATTTTGGCACACAAGTTGCAGCACATTAACCCCTTGCTGCCTGCCTGCCTTAACGAAGAGGAGAGCAAAACCTGTGAGTGTCTGGGCACTTTCCAGGACATCTGAGCAAATACTGCCTCAACCCAGCAGCAGGGTTTGAATTTAAATCTTGTTAAATGGAAAAACCATGCAGTGCTGCACAGGATGCAGATGTTTGGGTTTATGTGATGTTTACGTTTTTATTTGGCTGAAATAAAAGTGATTTATGTGGAATTTGGTTTTGCATTCTACATGCCCAAGGATTTTACCAAGTTGTTCAGCCATAAGATTTGATTTGTTTTCAAACGGAGTTGTGAAATGCTGGAAAATTAGATTTCCAATTTAGTGTGATACTGGAAATAAGAAACATACTGATAATATAGAGACTCCTAATACTGTGCACGAAATAAGGCTTTAAGCAACTGTGCTATTCCTTGTTTGACTGTTATTTTTTTCACTGAATTATTGCATGCAGACCTCTGATATTTATAACTTTTTTCCTTGAGTGCCTTTTATTGCTTGTTCTGAGCAGTATATAAGAGGTTTTTCTGCCTTTAATATAAAATGGAGCAGCCATGGATTTTTAGAAATTTGGCTCAACACTTTATACCCTTCTGCAAATGCATTACACAATATCTAATCTTTTTAAAAAATAATTTCCAAGGAAGTGTTGAGTGACTCAGGTTATCTAAAGCCAGTTGAAAAAACCAATGAGCATTTGTTTATTTCTCCTAGACTGCTTTGAAATAAACATTTTTCTTCATCAAACTGTGACAGAAAGTCGAGTTTATGTAGAGGGAAGAGGGTGAGAAACCAGAACATTTTCTGACACTTGTCCTCTGCTCTTTTGCCAGTTGTTTCTAATTTCATGTCTGAGCTGTCACCAGTGAGAGCAGAGTTGCTGGGGTTCCTCACCCATGCCCTCTTGGGAGACAGTTTGGCTGCTGAATACCTGATACTGCATCTCATTTCTACAGTGTAAGTATTTAGATGTGTGCTGAGAATTTATGTATTTATCATTTAAAAGAAATCTCCTCCTATGGGGTTCTTCACCAGTCTGCAAATAAATGGCAGAAATAGCTTAAATAATATTTATTTCAGCAGGTAGAGTTGTCCTGTCACAATACACACAAAGGCAGATTTCATGTCTGAAATAACAGTAAATATTGATAAAAGACCAGCTTTATGGCAGTGTATACGTTCACTGCTGCTTTGAGAGCTGACAAAATCTCCAGGATATTTTTAAACAGATGTATGAAAACATCTTTCTGCCTCTGGCTTCTTCTAATGAGTAGAACATACCATTGACTTCCCAAAAGACAGCATTTCCTGACTGCAGGAATTATTGCTTAGGTGCATTCTGGGAATTTATTTAATTAAATGTAAACCTGTTTCATGGTAAGTTCAAGTGACCTATTTAGCATGGGATAGAAATTTATTCTTATGTTGATTTAAACTATCTCTGGGTGAAAGAGCAGCATCCTTTGACTCATTAAAACCTTAAATGTGAAACTTCAGACATTGTAGTTGTCAGGTCCAAATTTAGTTTTAGTCATTTTAGTCTTCAAAATCAAAATTAGTTGTTTTAATTCTTTTTAGTGGGACTATGAATGTTCCAACACTTAGCCTAGAATGTATTTTCTCTCTTAGCTGGTATCACAAAAAAGTTGATGAGAGTTGTCAAGAATGGGGGAGAAGATACACAGTGAGAAGAGGGAGAGGAAAGCTGAGGGCAGGTAAAGGAGATGAACAAGTGTGATAAGGAGGGAACTTGAGATTGAGCAGCAGAAAGGAAAAGAATGAAATGTGTTCACTGAATAACAACAATGTCTGGAAGGCCATTGCAGGGTACCAAATTACTGTTTTTGTGTGGTGCTGTGAGGAGCAGCTTCAGCCTGGCTCAGCTCCTTGGGCACTGCAGAAGGCAAGCAGAGGAGCTGGCTGATTTTGGTGTGGGTGTGTGTATGTGTTCTGAAATCCTGCTGGCTGTCAGAGACACCACACAATGCTCCAGCTGAATGCCACCTTTACCCAGTGTTAGCCAAGTGTTTGCCTAACCTGTGCTGCTTTTGGTGCAGCTATGGCAGACGGGATGTGCTTCCTCTGGGAAAATTCACCGTCAACCTGAGCGGCTGTCCTCGGAGCAGCGCCTTCACGGAGCACCTGTACCGCCTCATCCAGCAGCTGGTGCCAGCAGTAAGCATTGCCTGGGCAGGGCTGGGGGCTCTTCTCACTGATCCAGCCTGGCCATGCAGGCTGAAATGCTCTCCTGCTCCCCATGTAGAGAGCAGGTAACAGCAGAGATGTGTGATGAATATGTGTGCCACATCGTCTAGGATGAATATGGAATGAAATTCTCTCCTCAGGGGTATTGAACTGATAGGCAGATGCTTTATTTGGTCCTTCTGGATTGATACGTTTAGACATTTGGGTCATTTCATGGTGGTGTCGTTAGGGTTTAATGAAGTTTGTGGATACTGCTCTGCAGAAAAGCGGTCCTTCTGGATTGATACGTTTAGACATTTGGGTCATTTCATGGTGGTGTTGTTAGGGTTTAATAAAGTTTGTGGCACAGTAATTCAATTTGGGGTCACACTGAACAGTATTGCTGCAATAAATCATTAATTAATGAGCTTATCCTAGATGTGCAGAACAGTGATAGGAATTCCTTTGGGAAATTTTGAAACACACAGCGTTTGGATATTTGGGATAGAGTGTTGCAGTGACAAGTTTTGCTTTGCTGTGCAGGTTCCCAGCATCCCTGGGGAGGCTGGAGCCAGGTGCTGATGGTTTGTTTGTCCTTGCAGTCCTACCACCTCCGCATGAGCATCGAGAGCATGAACCACTCGCGCTTCATCCCCCACAAGGACTACACGGCCAATCGCCTGGTCAGCGGGCTGCTGCAGCTGGCCAGCAACACCTCCCTGGTCATCGATGAGACCCAGCTGGAGCAGGGACAGCTGGACACAGCAGGTACACAGCTTTTGGGGTCTGCAGTCTCGTTTGGGAGGGTGAAAGCTGCTGTGTTTTAAGACAGTGGTGATCATCGTGTCCCGCTGATAAGGGGTCTGTTGCAAAACTGTTTGTGGTTTCTACATCCTACTTCGCTGCTTTGAAGCAGCTTCCTGCAGCCTTCTCAGCTAACTTAAGACAAACTGGGAGAATTCTTTATTACCAAAATAACTCTGATTCATTGGAGTGGCCTTTCAGTTTCCTGTGATAGTGCATGGAGTGGGCAAAGCATATGCTGATGCCTTATGCTCTATATTTTTACTGTATATCTGGAAACCATCCCTGAGAACACAGCTAAAAACTGGAGAAAAAAATTGCTATTACTGGGTTAAAAATAGTGGGGATTCTATCTTACAAGCTGATGTAGCACTGTGTAGTATGCTTTAAGCAGAGCTTTAGGAATTAATTTATTATAACTCACATAAAAGAGCTGAGTTGCATTAAAAGCTCAGTACCTGGAGAATGCACAGTACAGATGTTTGGAACTCTCGGAAGCTACAGCTTAGAAATTTCAAATGGAAAAATGTCCCAGGAGTCAACCCCAATATTAAATTTCCCTTTATTTGCTAACCTTGCCTTTATTTACAATGTACTAAATTATTACTAAGTATTTAAAGGCAAAACCATAACAGTAGTTTTGTCATTTGATGCAGTAACTGCTGAAGAGAAATTCAGTTTGTCAGGTACATGTTGGTATTTCAAAGAGAGAATTCCAAGAGTCAACCAGTTAATGTGTCAATTTTAACATTTTATATTTTAAATAATTTAATTCCAGGTAAGGCAAGTGAGTACTGTTTAAAAAATTAGCAAAATTAAATTGGTTGCATTTTTCTTCTTTTGGGGAGAGATTTTTTTTTTTGTTTTTTCTCTCTGAATAGATACCTGGCTTTGTAGGGCCAATGAAGACATGAGTACATGAAGACTCATGTATTAATGTACTAAGCCAGACAAAGTCTAGGCCTGAAATCAAGAATTCTTAATTTTGATTCACATTAAGAAGTAGTTATCTCTGTCTGGAAGACACCTCAAACACAAGAAGGAACAGGATGATTGCAGGAATCCTTCTGTTGGCTGCTCCTCAAAGACCAATGGGAAACAAAAATCAGGGCTGACATTTGTTTTGGCCCTGTGCTCAGGGAATTTGTTGTTGCTCTTGCAGGTGTCCATAATGTGACAGCCCTGGGTAACCTGATCACTTGGCAGAAGGTGGATTATGACTTCAGTTACCACCGGATGGAATTCCCATGCAACATTAATGTTCTGATCACTTCCGAGGGCCGCTCGCTGCTGCCGGTATGGGACGGGCTTCCAGGCTCTGCTGGGGAGCTGCAGCTGGCAGCTGCTGCCACAGCAGGCCCTGCCAGGGACACGTGGGGACAGGAAACGTGTCTTGTGACCAGGGAGGGTGTGACACTGGCAGTAGCTGCTGCCTTCTCCCTCGTGGCCGGAAAACAGAGAGATGGAGCTTCCCTCCTCCTTTCTGAACAGGGCTGGTGAGGTGGTGAAGCAGCCAGGGATGGGTAAAGCTCTCCAAGCCTCCCTTGGGCATGGGGGGTTCTGAGGTCATGGGCACCTGCAGTAGCCTGAGCTTGCAAACATCTGCTCTCTGGCATGCCAGCTTTGTCTGCTGAGCCTTGAATCAGGAGCTGTTCAAAATGCGAGCTGGACAATGTTTCAAGAATTGTCTTACCTTAGTTCTGGGAAACAGTGACTTCTGCTGCTTTTGAGAGTAAATTAGTCTTGGAATAGAAAATAGTGGGATGTGGAAAGAGATGAAATGTGATTTTCTCTTTCAGTCAGATTGCCAAGTCCACTTACAGCCACAGATAATTCCCCCAAACATGGAAGAGTACATGAGCAGCCTCCTCACTGCAGTGCTGCCCTCCGTGCTGAACAAATTCCGAATTTACCTGAGTTTGTTGAGGCTGCTGGACTACAGTATATCTGATGAGGTGACCAAGGTAGGGACACTTCCCTCATATGTTTTCAATGGTGTGTTTGGATAGAAAGCACCTTAGTAGACAGTTGTTGTATTTGCCCTGTCAGTGATTCTCCTTTAAGTTTTACAAAACCCAAACAGAAGCGTTTTCACATCCTGACTGTGCCTTCAAGGGTTTGTAAAGTATATACTGAATATATAAAGTATATATATTTTTAGATGTAAGGAACAGCACATGTAACCTGCTTTCTAACACTCATTTTGAAAATGGGCTCTTTTCAAAGATGAGAAGTAGCCTGGTTTTTCTCAGGCTCACTTCTGGATAGCAATGAGTTGAAACTTTGAAATCTAAAGGGTTCGTTGAAATCTAAATGGGTTCTTTTCGAAGATGAGAAGTAACTTGGTTTGTCTCAGGTTCACTTCTGGGCAGCAGTGAATTGAAATGTTGAAATCTAAAGGTTGTTACAAGTGTTTAGCTCCTCAAAAGCTTATCTCCTGGTGGAGATCTGGTTTGTTCCATAATTCCACGCTGTGCTTTTCCAGGCAGTGGAAGAAGACTTTGTGGAAATGCGCAAGAACAACCCCGAGAGCGTCACGGCCGATGACCTGCACAAAATGCTGCTGGTGGCCAGGTGGGTGTGGTGCTCCTGTCACCACTCAGGGCTTCCCAGCAAGCTACAGTGTGAGCCAGCACTTGGTCTGCAGCTGAACTGTCAGTCTAGCCAGACGGAATCTCCTCTGCCTTGTTCCTCTCAGTTAGGCAAAGCATCCCCTCCCCACTTTCCTCCCATGCTTTCTTACTCCTGGAAGACAGCTGGCTGGGAGCTGTGCTGGTTGCAGCAGCTGCAGGGGCTGTTCCTGACGGGCTCTTTGTGCTCCCCCAGGTTCCTGTCGCTCAGCGCGGGGCAGACGACGCTGTCCAGGGAGAGGTGGCTGAGAGCAAAGCAGCTGGAGGCACTGCGCAAGGCCAGGCTGCAGCAGCAGAAATGTGTCAATGGCAATGAACTTTAACACCTGCTGGATGTCACCCTGAAGATGTCTCTAATCCTAGGTGGAACCCGTACTAAGATTGGAATATTGTTTATACCAGTTTTTGTAGATAATTTATACCAAAAAAGTTATGGATATTTACCCTTGTGGTCTGAGCACGCTTAACTCTGTTCAGCCACCTAAACATATTTTATGGAATTTTTTTGGACCCTGTTTTGTAATTGAAAATTGGTAACATTGAGCAAATTGTTTGATATTAAACTTTAATACTGAGGTTGTGTAAACTTACTCCCTTTAATAAGAGAATTTAAGCCAGAGCCCTTCATACATAGCAGTGGTAAGCTCTGTTCTGGAGGACATTTGTGCTCTAATTTCTGCTTGGCTGAATTGTGAGGATCAGAGCTCTCAGCTGGCCAGCAGCTGGAGGAGGTGCTGACTTCACTCTCTGTGCTGTTCTGTGAGCTGGGGCAGGTCACACTCAGAGCAGCAGCAGCATCATTGTGATGATATCACAGTGTGGTACCAGTGATTTGACCAACTCAGGTATGAAAAATATTTGCCTTGTGCTTAGAGCTGACCATGACTTCTCAAATTTCTCCCATGAGCTTTATCCTGATACAGCTTGTTAAAAAACCCCACATTGACTGGGCAAGGGGTGATACTCCTGTGCTCACACAAAACACATCTTTACTTTCTGCCTTGGCAGTACTGCAGGGTGTTTAAATGGTTTACTTAGTGCTTTCTGCTGATTGAAATCACAGGGACAGGAACTCCCTTTTATATGGCATTTTCCTGTTCTAACCATGAGGGCTTTTGCTGTACACAAGCAATCTGGATATTTTGTCTCTTCATAGCAATAATGAGTACTTATTATGAGAAACATTTTTTGTGTATCCTAAACTTGAGCCAAGTTTGGTGCTGTTTCAAACTAGAGCTTACTTCTTTTCTTTTTTTTTCTTTTTTGAACACTAATAATGAATATTCATGGTTTCATCTGACTTGTGCTGCATTACTGTGAAGTGAAGCAACTGAACAAATGAGGAAGGAAATTAACACTTTTCAAAAGGCAGCTGGGCTGGAATGCAGGGTTGGGTTCTAAGATTGTCCCAGGGGATGGTTTTGTGTCCATTGCCATCTCCAATATTTCATAGCCAGGGATGGGACAATTCCCAAGCTGGAAGGACATTGAACTGGACATGGGGTGATAACTTCAAACCAGCAGAGGATAGATTTAGATAAAATATGAAGAAGTTCTTCCCTGGGAGGGTGGTGAGGCCCTGGCACAAGTTGCCCAGAAAAGCAGCACGTCTAAGAGGATAAAGAACTGAAGTCATGGCTGTGTCCCTTGACTACCATGGGATTGTGTCTGTAACTTTGAAAGAAACACCCAAAGCCCTGCACTCCCACATCCCTTAACATCACATATCAAACCCATCTTTTGATTCCACTTTTTTTATTAAAATATCTCATGTATATTGGTCACATCAAAATACAGCAGTAGTTTAATTTTAAATATAGCCACAAGTATAGACACTCAAAAAAAGAACAAAAAACCCAAACCCACATCACTTTAATAAAATAAATAAACCAAATCTGGTTATCAAAGTTTCAGGTGATAAATGATTTCAGACACAGTACAAGTCCTAAGACACAGAGCTACCCTAGCCCAGACACGACGTTGTGGGGACACCACGTGCAGCCTATCTACAGGACAGGGACGGGGACAGAGGCACTGGGTCTGTCAGGGTGCTTACAGTCACAAACCACAGCACAGGAAGGTCCTGCTTCACAGCAGCTTCTGGACAATGTCCTAGACTGGAATGGCATGGCAAGGCATTCCTGGGAAGGAGGATTGAATAGGTGTAATCCTTTGACACACAGAGCAAAGGGGATTTTTTATCCAGTTCCCAGCATGAGCAGATGCTTCACCCTGCGAGGTGCAAAGCTGGAGCTGGTCAGGAATTTGGTCTTGAATGGATGCTGGCAGCTATGCTCTAATGCAACCCTGATCTTACAAAGCAGTGCACTGGCCTTCTGCTTTAGATGTTAGTTGGGATTTTGCATCATTTTTCATACTTGAAGGAAATCCTAGCACAGAGGGACACAGTGCCTGATGGGCAGGTATCTGGCTCGTGTCGCTTTACAGAGACAAAAAATTAGAGCAAATCAGCAGAGTTGGAAATTAAAAAAAAAAAAAAGGAATTGCTTTAACATGGGCAAGACAATTCAAAGACATTTGCTTCATTTCCCCTCCTCTCAAGTGAGGAAAAAAACCAATCTACAGAAGAAATTTGCACTGCAGGATTGTGGGTATTTCAGATTGGGTCTCTAAGCTTTATCTATAATGAAAGTGTCCCAGGATGTCTGGAAAGAAAAGGATAGCAAAGAAATCTTACTTTCTGGTTAACATACTTAAATTCAACAAAAACACATCGGTTCCCATTGTAGAGGCACAATTCATAGAGAGCTGCATCTAGAACTTCATTGAAAACAAGTAAAAATACTAGTCCAAAAATAAATAAAATGTAATTTACCGGTACTTTATTTTGCTGGTGTAGTGCAAGGTAAGTAAGGTCAGAGAAGTGCAGTATCATCCTTTGAGTATAAATACTTTCTACATAATTCAGAGGAGCTACAAAATTAGTCTCAAAAAAATAACTGTGCAACACATCTAAGATAGACAGCATGCTTATTGAATCCCAGTGTCTAAGCTACCTGTTTAAATATGGTTTATACAGGTTCTGTCTCACCTGCCTGAGGGAATTCTGAAGCTTGGTCAGAACCAAATTCATTTGCATCTCTCACTGCTTGTAAACAATGTTATCAATCCCAGTATCCAGTAGCAGTTCATGCCACAATAGTCCTGATGTCACTGTGTTATTTTATTAGAAGCCACAGCTAGAAGAACACTTCCCAAATGAGCAACTAGATCTGAATTATTCGTGTCTGGCATTGCGTAAACATTTCTCTCAGTTCTTTCTGTTTGATTTCATTTAAAGCTTCTGGTTCTGCAGGGCTCTTTTGGACCTTTGCCACAGCAAAATTAATCCCTTGAGTCAATCCTGCCTGGGTGATGTTGGCAACCTGGACCATGGAGCTGCGGATTTTAGCGAAGGGAGACACAGCCCTGCTGCTGCTGCCGTCGGCAGAAGGAGTGGTGTGGAGTCCTGGCTCCTGGCTCCCAGAGCCCGGGCTCCTGTGGGATTTACTCAAGTCAGGCCCACCGACAGCCAAGAGCTGAGGATTTGGCTCAGAAGACTGAACATCCAGCTTTGATGGCCTGGAAGGAATGTCTGCAACAGCTTCAGCCTTGGGTTCTGCCTTCTTGGCCGCGCTCCTGCTGGTTTGTGTCGGCGCGTGACGGGGCTCCGGAGGACCAGCCTCAGGCTCCACCACGTGGCAGCCCTTGCTCTGGGCATCCTGCACGAACCTCTGGCAGTACACATCCACGGGCTTAGCAAAGTGCAGCTCCGTGCTGTCAGCAGAAGGCACGGCAGCGTCCTGGCTCGTGTCGGTGCTGCTGAGCGACTGCGAGCGGCTGCCCAGGCGCGGCGCCGAGGCGATGATGCCGCAGCTGGGCAGCACGTAGTCCGTGGGGCCCAGGCTCTCCAGGGACCCCGCCAGCTGCGCCTCCTCGTCCGACTTGGAGTTGCTCAGGAAGTCGTCGGAGTGGAAGGAGTCGTTGTCCGAGGCCTCGGTGTCAGATTCGCTGGGGGCTTTGGGATCTACCCCTGGATTCTCCAGAGTTTCAAGGCTGCTGTCTGACTTCCAAAGATTCACTTTCAAATTTGGCTTTAAAAAGTTGACTTTCACTTCGGGTTTGGCAAAGCTGCCCAGCTTCCGAAGGTTGCTGATGTTGACGTTGGATTTGGTTTGTTTCACCTTTTGATTGAGGGAGGAGAACTTGCTCAGTAAATAATTCTTGCCTTGGGCCAGGGACCCTCTGTTCTGAGACCGAATGCCAATGATGTCTTCATGAGGTTTGCTGCTCCTCCTAGAAGAGGGAGAAGATCTTAAATGTACAATCAAAGCACCAAGTATACACTGTCCTCCAGTCTATTTCTGTAACAGAAATGGACATTTCAGTTCCTAAGTTAACCTTTTCTTACATGAATAATAAATTTAATCCCATTTTTTACATAATAATATCGTACCCATATAAGCTAATCAAGCTCAAACCAACAAAGGAGGGTTGATACAGAACAGTAGCCAAACAAAGGGAACAGGCAGTTTCTGCAGGCACTTTAGTTTTTGATGAAAAAGGATTTGAATTCTCCACTTTTTTAACCCTGACTTTGTGTATACTCTGTAGCCAGATTTAGCAAATATTCGGTCTGCAATACCTGTAAAAAGAACAAGGTTTTTTTCACTACACTTTCTACTCAGGCGGGAGAAGCAGCTGAGTTGAGAGCAAAGGTGGGATACAGAAGGCTCACATCAGTGAGGTACTCACCTCTCCAGCTTCTTCTCAATAATGGGCACATCCATTCCCATTGCTTGCTTTGTGATTCTCAGCATTTCTGCAATGCACTGAAGAGTGTCTGAAATCCAACCAGCAGCCTGTCAGATCCTTAAAAACACCCTTAAAAGCCCATATTTCACAATCTACAAAGAAATAGGTCTAATTTTATTTGGTTTTATTGCTTTTTTTCTTTTACCCTGCAGAGCAGTTGTGCCCTTCAAGCTGCAATTCTGATTTAAAGCTTACAAAACAAACCTAAAGAATAAACTCTCCTTCAGCATGAAGCAAATCACTGCCACACTGCCTCATTTGGGGAAGGAAGAGAAGCCATTTTATTTATCCTTGCTGACAAAACTCAGTGCTCCAGGTATGAAGTGATATTTTTTCCCTTGTTAGTGTTCGTTTAATCTAGTTAAACAACAAGCAAGAAGATTTCCAGACACTGATTTCACTAAAGAAATCGATTTCTTTACCTCTTTAGGAGTTAATTTTAACATCATTATTTAAGTTTTTGGAGCAGTAAAGACCTGGACAGGGAAATGACTCTAGTTCTAGATAG